ACACTCTGGCTGCACTTCTTCCAAAACAGATCTATTGGTTCTTTTGGCAGCCCATGGTACTTCAATATTCTCCTCCAACACCATAACTCAAAAGCATCAATTCTTCTATGGTCTTCCTTATTCATTGTCCAGCTTTCACATGCATATGAGGTTACTGAAAATACCATGACTTGGGTCAGGCATACCTTAGTCCTCAAACTGACATCTTTACTCTTAAAACACTTTAAAGAGGTCTTGTACAGCTGATTTGCCTAATGCGATACGTTGTTTGATTTCTTGACTGCTGCTTCCATGAGTGTTAATGGGTGACTCAAGCAAAATTAAGTCTTTGACAACTTCCATCTTTTCTCCATTTATATGGACGTTGTTTATTGGTGTTGTGGTGAGGATATCTGCTTGCTTGACACTGAGGTGCAACCCACACCGAAGACTGTGGTCTTTGATTTTCATCAGTAGGTATTTTAAGTTCTCTTTGCTTTCAACAAGCAAGGTTGTATCATCTGCATATCACAGGCTGTTAATGAGTCTTCCTCTAATCTTTTTCATATAATCCAACTTCTCAGATTACTTGCTTAGCATGCAGACTGAATAACTATGGGAAAAGAATACACCATGGCTCATGTCTTTCCTGATTTTAAAACCATTGGGTGTTCCCTTGATCTGTTTGAACAACTGCCTCTTGTCTATGCACAGGTTCCTCATGATCACAAGGATGTGTTCTGGAATACTCATACTTCGCAATGTTGTCCATAGCTTGTTATGAGCCACACAATCAAAAGCCTTTGAGTAGTCAATAAAGCACAAGTAAACATCTTTCTGATATTCTCTGCCTTCAGTCAAGTGCCATCTGATTCCAGCAATGATGTCTTTCATTGCATGTCCTCTTCTGAATCCAGAGCTGATTATAGATCCAAGTAAAAAGAAATCCTTGACAATTTCAATAGTTGTCATGATGTTGGTGATGGGTCAGTCCAGTTGGGAGGATTTTTGTTTTCTTTATTGATCTTTCATCACTAAGTGTTTCAAGTCCCCTTCACTTTTGGCAAGCAGGGTTGTATTATCCAAATAGCATAGGTTATTAATGAGTCTTCAATCCTGGTGCCGCATTCTTCCTATAGTCTAGCTTCTAGGATTATCTGCTCAGTACCATCGAGTCGGTTCTAACTCATAGTGACCCGCATAGGGTTCCCTGCATAGGGATTCCAAGGAGCAGCTGGTGAGTTTGAAATGCTGACCTTGTGGTTCAAACTGACTTTGTGGTCCAATGTTTATCTCACAATGATAGCCAGGACTCCCCATGATATAAGAAGACCCTACCCCATACCTCTCCTGCAGAAAAACTTCACTGTCTAGTCTGCTGCCAATAGAAACAACTGAGTTTTCATCTCTTATAAGTAAGCTCCCTTGTTGGCAAACCATCTTTTATTTTCTTTGCTGAATAAACTAGTTTCTCTTGGATTGGGTTCTGGTCAATTTTTCAGTCTCTTGGCAACTATGTATGCAGAAGGCCTGAACCCCAATACAACATAGTATCCTCAAAGGCAAACCTGGAAAGCTGAAATAGCCGTGCTGCTTTTATACCAAAAATGAGTAAGGCTCAAAGAGGTATGGA